AATTTAAAAAATATATGTAATGCCTTTGAAATAATTTTATTATGCATATTTATAACTCTCTTGTATTTATGGAAAACTATTAAGGCCATCTGCTACCATTCCTAATTTTGACTGCTGACAACAACCAGTCAGCAGCACCCTACCATTTACAACAAAAGATTGACTGTCACTCATAGCTTAAAGAGTAGAGAATATTTTGTGGTATCAAACAGACCCAGCTCTGAAGTCCAGAGCTCTACCATAGAGCCAACTGCCCATAATTGTATGAAAATGCAGAAAAGTAATCCTAGAAGTTATTTGTGAGAGAAGAAGTAACTTAAGAATATTAAAATATAGCTCTACCTCATGACAACAGGACATTTTTTAGCAAGCAATTTACAAAGCTTGTATTAATAACAATTTGATATAATTAAATGGGTTAATAAAACACACACATTGTGAATTTTTATTTATTTTTATAGTTTATTTTGGTGAACAACAAGACTAATTAAAAAAAAACTAAAGATCAAAAAATATATGCCAACTTTAAAATAAAATTTGCACTAATGAATAATTTACTGACAACAATTTCAAACAGGTATTGTTTTCGAACAATATAATTGTCTGGCTACCTTCTGAACATGTTATTTTTCCTAACTTACACAAGTCTATGATTGACTGGCACAGCCTTAACCAGATTTGTCTAATTTGCACAAGCTATTGGCTGACTGTCACCATTTCAACCAGTTTTTTCATCTACAAAACCATGATTTTATGGCCACCACCTGAACTAGTTATGTAAGAATGTAGAAGCTCGCAACATAATATACTCAGTATGTTAAAAGTATATCTTATGGAAAAGTTTAATAAGTAAAGTACTTAGATTGTGAAATAGTAGGATGGTACCTTTCAAGGGTAAATATGCCTTTAAATGCAATGTAAGTTCCTGGTTATAAAACATTAAAGGGTTCTTTATTGCTTTTATTTCTCTTCTTAAGCAATGTTAACTTCTTTATTTTGAATAAAATTAATGTTAGTATGCAGTATACTGTAAGGATCAATGAATACCATTCAGAACAGATACCTTACAGTAGCTTTATTTAAGGATAGGGTTGATATCTTAATTGAGATTGAGAGAAAAACACTGACCATTTTCTAAAAAAGTTCCATCTCACTGTCATAGACATTTGACTACAAACAGATTGCCTTCTAAGGCAGATCTGACAACCTGTAGATAAGACACCCACAACATAATTACTAATTGGTGTTGGTGTCCAGAGAAGTGTGGTCCATGTTCTTGGTTTCCAAACTGATGTATTGCCATACTGAATTGCCCTTAATGCTTCATAAGCATATCTTTCTTCTTCAAGTGGCTTGTGTTGGCTGATTGGACTTTAATATCCAAAAGCACATTCATTTTCTACTAGCTACAGGTGACAATGACCACTGGTAAGATTCTATTTCATAAATTAATGCTAATCCAGGTGTCTTATAGAGACCTTCCCACTTGGTCACTAAGGATCCCAAAGTCACAAGAGCAACTCTCAGTCCTCCATGTTTCCTACCAGGAGAACTCAATTTGCATATAACAGAGAATCAACCACTGTATACTTATGGAACAGTATCAAATTTCACTAAGTGCATTTGTCATCCAGGTCACTTGGTCATCTCATTAGTGAAAATAGGGAAGGCAGTATTTTTCAGGCACTAGAGAACACAGTACAGGTCTAAGAAATTCCATATCTATCAATAGGGATTGATCTTTAAATTTAATCAGCACAAAAATAATGTCTCCAAACTTGTGAAAACTAGAAAAAAAAAACGTGGTATTGTTTCATATATTAAGAAAAAAGTTGAGGATTCAGAATATTTGTAAATATAGTTAATTTTAGAATTTATTTATCACAGAACTACACAATGGAATATGTGTTATGCCCACCACAGATATCTCTCAAATTTAAAAACTAACATCTTATTCGTTTGAATTAAAGAATAACCTCTTTGCAGTAATGTCCATATTTGTTACAAGAGTGAACTTTTTTGGTTAACTTCATCTTGAAAGGAATGATTGCTTTTTGGATGATCTTCATAACCAAGTGTAGAAATTTTTCTAAGTTGCATTCCAGAATTAATATCACATTAAGAAAGGTCACATATGATCCTACATTGATACAGCTGTTGGTATGGTCAAGAGTGGATACACTCAAATATTTGTTGCTCTTGAATTTAGTATCATTGATATCGTTTTCACTGGTGCGATTGAGTTTGATTTAATTTTAATGAACAGTTATAATCATCTTCACCTTGCACTTCTCTACTTCTTGTGTTGTATTGTGAGGAATTGGAATTTCAATAACACCTTATGCACAGATGGTTAAATGATCAGGCTAGAAACTAGTACAATTTAGATGTATGGACTCTTATTTATTTATAACTTTTGCCAAAGAAGATGGCAGCCAGCAGTACCTGCTGCTGAAGGGACTTTGTCTAGGTCTTTGAATTGAATAATGGAATTGTTACTTTTATAATGTGCCCACAAATGAAAATATGGAGAATGTTCATTGGCATCACACCTAGAATTCCAGGCCTATTGTTCCATAGTCCAACATGCTAGCCTCTAGGCCATGCAGGCCACTAACTATGGTGAGAATGGACTGATCAGAGTGGCTTGAACTTAGAACACGTTGGAGTCAGTAAAAAAACAAACTAACTAACTTTATGGATACTTCGCCCACCAGCCACACTGAATCAGCTGTGAGATGTATGGGTAAAGAAGTGTGGAAAACATTATTCATAAGTTCATTCAGCCTCATAAAAGTTGTAGGCCTAGCATGGCCATGTGGTTAGGGTGCTTAACTCATAATCTGAGAGTCGCGCAATTGAATCCCGGACCCACCAAACATGCTCGCCCCTTTAGCCGTAGGAGGCATTATAATATGACGGTTAATCCCACTGTTCATTGGTAAAGTTTGTTTTTTTTTGGTGTTGTTGTTTTTCAAGTACAGAATTTTAGCTCATAGCTCTGTCATCTCTTGACCGATTTGAGATGTAATTAGTTTTGGACTCAGGAGGTTAAACCCTTTCGATTGATGTATTTGACCACACCCAAGGTGTCGTGGATTAACTTACTTTAATCCTGCCATAACTCCACTTTGAGAGTAGGCTGGT